CCCCCCCCCCCCCAACAATTTTTGAAAAAAAATAATTAGCGATGTTCGTCCGTCGGGCACAACTTCGGCCACGCCCTTTTCGTACCGCAGAACTAGCTCACCCCCACCATCCCCGGTTTGGCAATGGTCCAATCCCAAATCGGAAGCTTTCGAGTACTAAAACTAGTTGAAACGATCTTCTAAATTCATTCAAATTAATCCAATAACGCCACATAGGCTTTGTATTCATTGTTAAAACCAGAGTAGCAAGCGAAAACATCATTGATTTTCCCAATCGGGGAAGAGGCTTTATATTTTTAATATAGAAAAATGGGTGCAATCATTCAGGCTAAACATTGCATGATGGCTGCGTCGTGCACGGACTTTGCTCAAGTCTGACCAGGACGCTAAGCAATAATTGTTGTAACTTAATTAATTGTCAAGGGCACTGTGCTAATTGCATCATGACTGTATAAAATAGACAACCCACCTCTGCATTGCAAACTCCATAAATGAGAAAGATAAAAAATCCCTGTGGAAATGTAAAAATTTCTTCATTATTTAAAATATCTTTTACTATAAATTAGATCCTAAATACAATACTTTACCGAGTAACTATAGAAACAAAATAGCGTATGATTAGATGAAAATTAAATCTTTAAAAACTATAATATTATGTCCATAATCCAAACCACCATTATTTAGAGCAAGAAGACACAAGTTGAACAGTGATATTTCGAATTTATTGCAAATTCATTATCAGACTAATTACTTTTGTCGTTTTAGAACATTTTGTGGAGCTTCCGTGGCGCAATAGTCAAGAGCAAGGGTCCTATTCATCTCCCCGCGACTCGTGACATTTATGTGAATAGAGTCAGTCGACGCTCTACCAAACGTCTTGGGTTTTTCTTCGGGTACTCCGGTTTCCTCCCAGAAAGAATATTGATAGGATAGGTTGTGAGTACCCTCAGTTGATCCTTCAACCGTTGCTGTTCTCTGTGATAAGACACGAGTCACAAGGTGGCTGCCACAGGCGCGCTTAGAAAGCATTCAACTCGATATGAGGTTTTAGCTGCAAGTAAGGACGATTAGCACACATCCATGGCAGCCATATTGGTGTAGGCCACAATAGTCAAATTTAAGAAGGAAATTGTTTGCTAAATTGTATATAGACAACGTATCTTCTTTCCAACCAATACAAAAAATTGTAACAACGTCTGTTGTGGTGGTCACACCAGAACACCAATATGACCACCATTGTCAGTAATTATGTCTCCAGGCCTAGTTATTATGCAGATCAGTGGTATACATGCACCATGCACAATGTCATTTTCTCTCTTTGTACCTGCAACGAAGTAAAAATTGCGAAGAGGTATTTCCAGATCAAGGCATCATGATTGACAGCGATAATACTGAATCCCCAGGATAGGCCAAGAGTCGGGAATAAAATAATAATACAACGGGCGGCAGAACTAGAGAATATATAATGAAATGTATCTTAATTAATTAATTAATTAATTAATTAATTAATTAATTAATTAATTTAAAAAATCATACCTTCAAGTTGCAACTTGTTCAATCCAAAAACATTTTATTGCAAAAGTAATCTAGAATATTTCCATGCTGCACATTCTTGGTGGCCATACAAACTTAGTGGCCATGCTATGACTGATGTTCAATATTGCAGCGAGAAGCAAAGTTATTTATTTGGAAAACGAGATCAAAATATTGCACTTCTTCATTTATCTTCTCACTTTACCGACTGCTATTTGATGCTTTATTAGTAGTTTTGACGAAATAACATGCATTGACAGTAAATGTAAAAATTTATTTAACTTACATGATATTTTTCTTGGCACCAGCATCTTCCGACTTCGAAGCGATAAACAAAACACGAATCACGACAATGACTACAACAAGAGTCACCTACATGGGCAATTATGATAAAGTGTTCGTTAATAATGTATTTTGAACTGTTCCTTAATTTTGGTGTTATTGAACTTGCTGCTGTAATATCTGTTATTGTTGCTTTACTGACACAGTTATACTTTCAATGTCTGACAGTTTTGTACTATAAATTAGATTTATATCTTTTATTAATGGAATAAACAGACAAACAGTCCCAACCCGAGAGTGCTATAAAACTATTCAGAGAAAGTTTCATTGACAGTAAAAACTGTCACTGTTAATGCTGCTGTTTCTGTTACGGTTGGTATTGCTGTTACATATTCTTCAAAGGCCTAATCTTTTTGTTTTAACAAAGGTTAATAATATATAAAACTACATACGGATGTTATAATGATCACTGGCGCAAAGAAAACCCACACAAATCCATCTTCGTAAGACAGCCAGCACCTGACCAAGAAAGTAATTATGTTAATTATAGTAGAATGCCATCCTATTGCAGTTAAAATTTTGATCCGTTTACGTTTATTCACAGACTAAACAATAAAGGTATTCACTGTAAAATAAGAATATTAATTAAGCTTATATTAATGAATATTATTATACGTGGAACACAATATATAGGATGTTGGTTTTTGGTACTTAAAGGACAATGGCAACAAAAAAATTATTGTCTCATTTGAAAGAACGTTGAAAATTATCTCTAGCATCTTGTTACAAATTTTTCATATCAAGCTTAACGCTTGAAATATTTTCACTGAAAGCAATGAGCTGTCCGCCATCTTGGATTAATTGTTAACCTCATTACTCCGGGTACTGTAATTACCGGAGTATTAAAATGTCAGATCTTTTTTTACAAAATATCTAAAAATAGCCGCCATTCGTATAGTAGGTCGGAGCGAGAGATGTGTTTACAATGTATTTTGTTGTATTTACAGTAAATATTATCAAATGGAGCGATTCTCATACACTCGTTTTCATCAATCGAGACTGCATGCATGTGTTTAGTAGCTGTTGCCGTTATTTCAAAGCTAGTTCTGATCGACAAATGGCTTGGTTCGTTAGCCTATCATTAATCTCAACGACTATGTTTGGGAGATATATACAGCATTTTTAAATTTTGTCAACACTGTACGTATAGTTAATGCACCAATTCGTTAAGTAAATATTCTAGGACAATTAAGAAAACAACTATGACACACACAATGTTGTGGGAGAAGGGTTGTCGAGGAGAAATGCTCCGGTTATACTTTAAACTGTGGCCAAAGTGTCGCCCCACAGACTCACTATTACAGCAATATGATTATGATATAATTATATGTCCTCAGGGGGGATGATCATTGTTTACTTTAATGTCCAAGGGGTAGTAGATCCCCGTGATGGTCATTGTTTACTTTAATGTCCAAGGGGTAGTAGATCCCCGTGATGGTCATTGTTTACTTTACAATACACTGTATAATACATTGATTTGTGTGAGTCTATGGGGTTGAGGGTGACCTTTGGGAGCGCTCCATCCCCAAACAACCAAATATTTTATTTTTACAACCAGACTAGCAAAGTTAATTCTAATACTGTATATTACAAAATATAGATGTGCCTGTAATAACATATTAACCAGTAAAGTACTCCATAATACTTTATCTATAACACTACATGAATTGCATTTCATGTGAATCTTGATGACGGATTGCATATCAAAACAATATTTACAGATTTTTATTTATTATGCGATACAAGTTATAATATAGTGGTGCAAAATCCTTGAAGGGCGGGATGGGTGGTAATTTTGAAGTACTTTGCCACAGAGATCATACAATTTTGCTTGCAAGTGACACAGTGAGGCTTACTGATCCAAGCAGGAAACTATGCAGACGAAAAGGTGAAACCTGATTGGTCTATTTTCCCGCACGCATGGGAAGAGATTTGACAATGGTTTATTGTTAATTCAGCCTTGCGCTTTGCACGTGTATGATCACACGATTCACAGATTGACCTTTGTACCAGACCTTTGTACTCCATGCAGGAGACTTTGCACAACTTTACTCTTGTCCTAACGCTTGTTTCATTAACTTAAATTTATAATGCTATGGGCATGTATAAACTTGCTTTAAATTGTGTTAACACTCGTCACTCGTGTTCTTCAAGTCGCCCTTTGTGCCTCGTGGCCAAAATTGAAGTACAAACAACGCACAAATCTATTCGACATATCTGAAACTCTTCGATTCGCGAGGCAATTAGCAATATTGTCTACCACGCTTGAATTAGACAAAAGCGCATATTAAATATATTAACTAGATTGCTTTACCCAACACTATTAGGTCTATTACACAGTTTAATGTTTTAATTATGGGAGTCATTAAAAATCGCTCTCGACAGCTGCATTGTCTTGGTCTTAATGTAAAATCATTACTAAGAGGATGCTTAAGATAATGTAAACGTTTGATAATAACAAACTTATACAGCGTTACATACAGGCTTACAAATTTAATAAGACAATATTCAATAATCAATCTATACTGTGTATTAGGATAAATATTAATGCCCAGCATAATATTTATCCTAAGATTACGATTTCCGCCTGGTTCATCTATCGCAATCTATATATAAACAAAATATCAACATGACACAACTATAAACAGTATATTTCTTTTCAAATAATTAGTTTCTTTGTGTGTTTGATAATTGTGGTTTGTTTACGTTAGCTATTTTTAGTAATTCAATTGAAGGAGTTTAGGTTCTTGTCGAGGGTGGGAAATCGAGGGTCGAAAAACATATATAAAAAGTCGAGGGTCATATAAAAATTCGAGGGTCATATCAAAAAGTCGAGGGTCATGGCTATATAAAAAGTCCAACGTCGTATTTCTAAAATATTTCATGGTTTCTATTGTCGAGGGTATAAATTTGCGGCAAAATAATTTGCTTTTTTAAGCAAATTATTTTGCCGCAAATTTATACCCTCAACAATAAAATTTTTAGTTGCCATTGTCTTTTAATGATGAAATGCTCAAATATACCATGATTTAATGTGAGGAAAAATTGAAGTTCAAATTTCAGTTACCATTGATCAGTACCATAACCATCAATCTTCACTCCAGCAGATAAACCAACTAACAGCAAAGGGAATCCTGTATATTTTTCAAAAGGATTAGTTATTAGGAAAATTACTTTTAAAGCGATAAAGCACTAAATAGAAGTGTAAGTTATATCATTCAATTAAAATCACAAACAGTCGTTGCATGGACAAAGTTTTATAGCAATGTGCACCATAATAATAAAATAATATTGAAGCATGATTGGCCCTCACGGCGCCAATTTTCCTACAGTATATGCATGTGCTTAATTATATTTTCACTGGAGACAACATTTTGATTAAAATCAATTGTTATACGTAAAGCAAATTATCTGAAATATATGAATAACAATGACTGATTCTATTAGAATTATTTGACAAAAAATGTATTTAACAACTGTGGAACAACAGTATACAGCTATTTCAATTAAGGTTGTCCTCCGAGCAAAGCGGAAAAGTCAATAATACGAGCGCGAAAGGCTGCTGGGAATCGCTGATAAATGAATGAATTTATTAGCAATTCCCAGCGGCCTTTCGCGCTCGTATTCGACTTTTCCGCTTTGCGCGGGGGATAACCTTAATAATAACCGAAATAGCTGTATATACATATAGTCGGGAAATTCGTCCAATCGTCCTCATTTTATTTTAGTGGCGGCCACTTCCCGATTGCCACCTAGCGCTCTCCTCTCAGACCTCGCCACCTTAGAGTCCTCCACTGTTTTACAAACACATTGGATGTTCGTTATCTAAAGTGTTCACATATATCTATAGGTATAAATGTATTAACAAAGGTATAAAAATGATTTTTTCTTTCTTCACGACTTCTTTATATCAATACTTTCAATGTGCAAACACACTGAATCTGCCATGTTGGCGGAAATTAACTATAAGGATTTTCTACTTTGCACTCGCATTTTCCTCCTTCATCGGCGCCTCTTTGCTTTCTCAATTCCTATGTGGAGATACATCGAGTTTTCTAAATCCTATTGCGTTTAAGAATATGGATTTGTATTCTTGGGAGTTCAGTTTACGAAGGTTTTCGTGTTCACACATTGGTATACGCTAACATTTGCAAGGTTACAGCTTTCTAAAGAATCTTCAAAAACTCACTAATAATTTATGAGGAAAACACAAAGAAACATCATAAGTGTGTCGTATCTTTATATGTGATAGAGATTTACCTTGATTTACATAAACGTTATAATACATTGACTTTCCGCCAATGAACTTACTAGATCGATCGTTTTTGAAGCAACTTAAAACATTCGCAGTGCGTGTTTTATCAGATCTTCAAACACTCATTAATAATTCATAAGCTTATTGGCAAATCATGTCAACCATAATATGTCACGTGCAGTGGCTTTAAACGTGATAAAACACTCCTAATTAGTATTCTTTACATAAAGAATACTAATAAGGCAGTATATCTATTGAATTTGTGGTCGTGTTTGAAGCAGTTTAATAAACTCGCAGGTCGTATTTTAGTAGGTGCTCGTGGCTTTAAACCTAATAAAACACTCCTGCTCGTTTATTAAACAGCACATATTAAATGACTAGATAAGGATGTGATGCGTAAAGTATTTTTATAAACATGAAACATACCCCAACCAAATAGCAGGAAATTCTTCATTCTCACAAACTCTCCACCATACACTGAAATCAATTTTAAATACAGCATGACAGCTTCAAGAAGAATCCATGTGAAACCAGCCAAAGAAAAATAATGCACCGAGATTGCTACAACTTTACAAGCTGTCTATAAAAATTGGATAAGAACAATTTGTATTAAATTCACATTCTTCATACAATTTACAATTACAATCTTTCCATTATATATTGTGAAATTGGGAAGTGAGATATATATTAAAGTTGACCATAAGAAAGTTGTGACACCAAAAAGCTCACAATATAAATAATACGAGGCAGACCCACAATACAAGAACTCAAGTACACAAGAACAATTTTCAGTCTTTACTACACGACGCATTCTTAGTTAATGCGCTAAATGATCACATATGCAAGTTGGAAAACGACGATATCGTAATAGTATGAAAGAGTGTATTGTGTCATACCCGCCATTTTGTGCAGAAGGCTATATAAATTACATACCTCATTCTGTGTGGCATTTCCTCCGGCGAGAAAAACAATCTGTGTCAATCCCAAAGCTATCTGTAAGTTGAAATGTACCAGGTGACGACTGGTTGTTAAAATTTGAAGATCTTTGCTGAAATTTATAGACATTGAAAAGCCATTAATACCCATCAAAAATGAAATATGTTTTATGAAGTGTCATGACACTTCAAACAGGTGCATCTGAGCATGAAAAATACAGCTGCCTACAACAGGTTAATTTAAGAATGGTATATATTGCATAATTATACCCATATCCCAGTTAGCTGCAAGTAATAATTGCAGTGAATTCTCAAGTTTCAGTTTTCAACATGCATATATACTCACTATAGAACAATATAGATAATACATGTGAAGAGCAGACAAGCCAGTGAGAGTGCAGATCCAAAATAACTGACGTAGTTCAAAGCTACTTTATTGGACTGACTAACCTAAAATAATAAAATATAGTTGAATACTTATCGAATCATAAACGTATAGGTCTAGTATTATTGACTTAGCTCGAACAAATATAAAACTACAAATTATATCTTATCAAATTATTCAATGATTTCCCAACATTTTTTCAGTTACCAAATGCCTCCAGGATTAGGCAGCTACACCCTATTACTCACTGTATATAAAATGATATACAAAGCGACGTCGCATGTATTGCTACTGATTCTGCGAAAAATATTGTTTAATAAAAATATCGACAGCTAATTTTTTCATGGCCCTGAAATATTGCATGCGTCGTTATAACTTTTTATTCAATTAAAGAAAAAAATAGAGATATAGAAAGATAACGAAACCACAGAATTAAAATTGTAAATATGTATGTTTATGAAATCTCTTTATAATACCACAATATACCTCTGCATCAAGTACAACCATTGTAAAACTTGATAAATGATTTGTCAAACATTCAATATTTTCTCCATCAATCGAACCAACTGTCATTCCTGTTGTATTCCATTTATCACCATCCAGAAACAGGCAATTTACCTGAAACGTTTATGGAAATGCATGAAGAAACTATAACAACGTGAAATTAATAGGACCTTCAAACACTCATTAATAATTCATAAGCTTATTGGCAAATCATGTCAACCATAATATGTCACGTGCAGTGACCTTAAACCTGATAAAACACTCCTAATTAGTATTCTTTATATAAAGAATACTAATAAGGCAGTATCTATTGTAGTCGTGTCCTCATTAGTATTTTTTATGTAAAGAATACTAATAAGGCAGTATATCTATTGAATTTGTAGTCGTGTTTGAAGCCGTTTAATAAACTCGCAGGTCGTGTTTTATTAGGTTGGAAATGCATGCAGTGTCGTCTTTCTAAAAATCGCTTATACCTTGTGGTATTCCACAAGGTACAATTTTGGGGCACTTGCTGTTTTATAAATTAAATATGTGCGTCTCATTGTAAGTAATATTCACTAAAACATAACCAAGAATATAATATTTCAAAACCTAGTAGAAGCTGTTCAATTACGCGCTGCTATATATATATATATATATATATATATATATATATATATATATATATATATATATATATATATATATATATATATATATATATATATATATATATCATTGCCTTGCGCGCTCTCAACTTCGTATGTAACCAGTTGAATTACGGCAAGCAAGTACTTTAACTAGTTTTAACTAGTTTCGTGATTTTTTCAAAGTAACTTAGTAACTTATGGGTATGTGTTTTATCATACTGCTCTCATGGAAAGCATGATTTGATTTGTATTTATTTGTATTGGCCCCGAGCCAAGGGCGCGGAGAGCTCACACGGAATTCTCATTCCGGCGAGCGCTGGCAAGTGTCGTTCTGAAATTTAATAAGGAAAGAGTAGGAAAACGCCGTTCGAAAGACGAAAAGTAAGCGATCACTTTTATTGATTTCTTTTTATTAAAAGTGTTAATATAACATTTTATTTAGCAAAAGTTGTTTTTTTTCCCTATCTACTTCTTATTAAAATCGTGAAATACACTTGCTGGGAATTTCAGATGCTCGTGTATAAATAACAAAACAGCGAATGATATAAATGCGTCAAAACATAACTCTCGCATAAAAAAAACATGAATACTTCTATAATATGTATAGTTTTATTCCTCTGCATTATCAAAATTTAATAAAATAGTGAATTAATACAATTTTAAAGTTTATTTAATCGGTGTGACATAATTTGCCGTGAGATTCATATCTGTACTTACCTCATCTGTGGCATTAGCGAAGTCTAAAGTTCAACAATGATCGCTGGCGTGGGTTACCAACGGTGTTGAGTGAGTGGTCATCCTCACTGATCTCAAAATATGTGGCGGACAGTCTTGAATAGCGAACACTGATTGGTCAAATTTAAAATTTGTTGTTGTGATTGATTTGATGACTAATAGCCACTAAAGCCACTCGCGCTGCGCGCTCGTGGCTTTAAACCTAATAAAAC